AGAGCGAGAGAGAGAATGTGAATGAGAGAGACAGACAGACAGACAGACAGATAGATAGACAGACACACAGAGACAGAAAGAATGCGAGAGAAAGAAAGAGAGAGAGAAAGATAGAGAGAGACAGTGTGTGTGTGGGGGGGGGGGGGGGGGGGGTGTGTGTGAGAATGTGTGTGTGTGTGTGTGTGTGTGTGTGTGTGATCTGCAGTTAAACACCACTGTGTTTGCTGGCCGTTTGCGAAGATGAAAGAAGAAAGAACGGGGTTTATGATGCGGGGGGGAGGATGGGGTGGGGATGTATGAGGAGAATGCTATCTTCGAAACGTCTTCACCTAACCTAAAAGTCGACTAGTTTTCAATATGCCAGACGTTCCTCGTTCCTGTAATAGTGCCGTGCTTAAGATTTTGATTTTTCGAGAGACGTTCGATGGTCGCTCAAAAACAATACATGACTAACTGACTAGATCTAGATACATGTACATAATATAATAATATAATAATATACCCTGCAGGATTTCCCTGAACATGAAAACCACGTCAGACAGGGTTGGTGGGTGCTCCGGTGGGGTTTACTCCTTCGAAATTCTAATCAAACATCTATCTTTCTTATCTCTCCTCCTTTTCTTTGTATAGTACTCTCCATATATCGTGACCTCTAATACACTATATTATTATATAAATATAATAAAAATACGTCGCAATACGTTACAATGCGTCATGTAGAGAGAGTCATATAATCTAACCTATTTTTGAGTTGCAGGTGCCGTAAAACTCTTACTTAAACTATAAACTAAGTCAGGAAAACAACCTGTTTACCTACACAGAGAATCAATCAATAGGACTAGATCTAGATCTTACAGCGAGACTACAAATCGCAATGTGATTGTGACTATCTTGTGGCTTACACAACAACAAAAACGCCAGGTGTGCCACGCTCTGGTGAGAGCCTGAGAGGTCGATATTACAATAAAATATATATATTGATATATATTTATATAATATAATGTGAGCGTTATAACGTTGAGTGACGTCGTACATCGGCCACACCCTGCCTGGCCCACAGAATGACTCTGCACTTGGTTAATTCCATACAAGCCGAAAGAAATTCATTGTAGAGATTTAATTTTTTGCTGATATTTCTGTCAAATAGTATAATAATATATTTTAGACTCCCGCGATAATGCTGCTAAAATATAACTTATGTAAGTATGGGTTGTTTTTTTCCTGAATATAATATCAGCTGTTTCTTCTTCTTCTTCTTCTTCTTCTTCTTCTTCTTCTTCTTCTTCTTCTTCTTCTTCTTCTTCTTCTTCTTCTTCTTCTTCTCCTCCTCCTTCTCTTCCTCCTCCTCCTCCTCCTCCTCCTCCTCCTCCTCCTCCTCCTCCTCCTCCTCCTCCTCCTCCTCCTCCTCTCCTCCTCCTCTCCTCCTCCTCCTCCTCCTCCTCCTCCTCCTCCTCTCCTCCTCCTCCTCCTCCTCCTCCTCCTCCTCCTCCTCCTCCTCCTAAGAAAACAAAACACCACAACAAAACTCTATAACTAAGGCCTGGGAGACGCATAAAAGCGAGTTTGAGCATGCCCGGCAATATCATTCGGATATCTGCTGTTTACGAAGTCAGTTAGATAAAATCTATGGTTGGTGCTGTTTATTATATTAGTAGCTTAACTTCGTAAACAACAGATAAATACCCTGTATCCTGTATCAAAGTCAATGTGCGTTTATATTGGACCAGAAAAAGTGCTATGTATCTTACTGACCCTTCTGGCAGTGTTAGAGAAAGTCATAAAAACAAACAAACATTAAAAAAAACAAAAAAACGAACAAAAATAAAAGCAATGCTGGTCATGTGGTACATGTATTTATGTTTCTATCCACCCCCCCTCCCCCTCTTCTTTTTTCAACAAGTTAGCAAGGCCTATACATGTATTGACCGTCGCTTTCAAGAAAGGTCCTTGGATCTCGTTGCCCATGACATCACAGATTTAAATTCCATTTGGTTTTGAAAAAAAAAAACCGACTTTTAGTCTGTCAGTTTGTATAAAAATCGTAGGCCTATTAATTAAATTTTTTTTTTTTTTTACATCCATGAATTAATTTCATCAGATAGAATAGACTGGGCATAATGGTGTCGTACGTGGCATTAAAAGATTAGGTCGTGGAATTTCTGGAAACGAGACAACTACATTTTAAAGAATTATGAAACATTTTTTTTTTTGAAAGAAGGATCTTTTACACTAGGGGTTACGTATGGGTTTTTTTAATGACTGTGTGTCAAGTTTCATAACGTTACCTGCTTTAGAATTTGCTAATTTTATCTGAAAGGTATTTCACGGGTTGTCGTGACATTCTGCCATGGCGTTGTTCGCTCTCACAGCAGTTTTACATGCAATCTTGAATACCTACAAAACGACACAGTTAGGCCTCGCTTACTCTTTTGATTATAAAAGCTCTTTCTTATAATAACGAAACACTAGACTTAGTTACTTGACAATGTTGTCGCCGTTGCGTTAAAGTTGTTTGAATTGTTTTTCTTTCGTTTAACCCCAAAGGAGCCTCAAAGAGGATGACCTTGATGACGTCATGAGAAACTACTATAAAACGCGAGCGCGCCCTCTACGCTTCAGTCATTTGTCTTGCTGCGTCAGGGAACGTACGGGCAAATCTCGCTGCTTCTAAATAATCTAAACAAATCCTATTTTTTTGTACAATTTCCATCTTGTAAGTCAATACACTGCTACCCAATACACGACAAGTAGGCAAGGCTAAACTCGAACATCAGCAAAATGTCTGTAAGTCAGTGCCGTCAGAACTACCACTCTGAGAGTGAAGCGGGCGTCAATCGCCAAATCAACATGGAGCTGTATGCATCCTACACGTACCAGTCAATGGTGAGTCAGTTGTAATGTGTGCGTTGGTTTGTGGAGTTCAGTAGTAAGCCACCATATTGTGCAGAGTGTATATCATATGCACGTTTTGAGGGTTTCCTGTAGTTTGCATGCTTTAGCTATAGGCTAGCATCAGTTTTAAATCTCGAGAGGAGTTGCTGCTGAGTGGATAAAAGGTATATTTTCTCATTCTGAGGTCGTTTTGCCTCGAGGTCTGGGTGTTTTGAGGTCAAGTTGACAACCCGACCTTGCGTGGTTCTGGCGCCATTTGACCTCTGACCCATGTTCCAACTCGGAAGGGCTGTTGAGCCACTTTCATTTTCATTGATGATGATACACGGTTTCCTTAATATTGCGGCCAGGATCTATTCTTAACTTTGTGCTTTTTATATTTACTGCCTACAGTAAACATGATTCCTTGATTCTTGGTTTTGGTGTGATGAAAACCCCTTTAGCCCTACAGTTACAGTGGGAAAAATGAATTGTGCTGAGTCTGAGTTTTTAAGATGACTGGTTATTCTCACCTGGGGTGAAAATAAAAATATAATTTTATATCTCTGACTCCCGGGGTGAGAATAATATTATATTGTATTATAAAATGAACATTATTCTCGCCGGGTCTGAGAGTGCAATGGATTTTTAGGTCTACCTGGGTGTTGAGAACGGATGATGATAGCAAATAATTTGGAAAGTGGCTATTCTCACCCGCCCGGAAGTTCTCGCAAGATCAACCTCTCCCCTCTTCTCTCTCTCTCTGTCTCTTTCTGAGT